AAGCGTGGTGATGTAAAAAGCGCATCAACTACGAGTTTCTTTCATTCTCGATAACGTCGCTTATTTGTTAATTTCTGAATGTCCAGCGTTTATCCTAAGGATCATTAAATTCAAATAATCGGTAAAAACCTACCATATTCATGGAAGCTCCGAATACAAAGAAGCGTAATTTAAATACGATGTGTGAAATCACTGCTAGCCTCCAGTTTTCGACGTCGATGATACAATCGAATAGCTGGAGTTGAAAGCTCAAAATTTAGGAGCTTCTACTATGACGTACCGCCAAGTGATATCTTTAAGCGCGGATATGCCGAAAAACGAAGCAGACCCAGCCATTGTCGTTGCTGTAAGCTAAAGTCTTATTGATCCTAAGGCAATCAGCGGCCCGACCTGCATGTATGATTAGAATGGATTGACAGAGTTTTTTAAGTTGTGGAATATTAGTGACGTTCCAGGGGCGCTCCGAGAAGGATGGACGGTATGAAGCTTTCTGAGCTTCAGCAATGCTTTCAACGAGCTAATACTGTCCTGGTACCGTATCTCTGGACCAAAAAATGGTGACGAGAACAGAAAATGAACGAAATGTGCTATAAATAAGCATAAAAGGAGCCAAGCACCGTCACAAACTACTTCACAGAGACAGTACTGTTATAAAGATGCATCGCAACAACGTTTAATCATACGTTAGAGCCTGCCACCATATTCGTGATGACGCAATTTACCTTACGGTATAAAATGACAAATTTGAAATGCACATTCAAGTAAAGACACATTAGAGGATCATTGTAACGGGGTGAATCGTTACATAACAATTTATAAGAAATTGTTAATAGAATATAACTATAAGAGTTATATTCTCAGAATATTGTCATAAGGACAATATTCTGTAGCACTTCCAAGTAGTTCCTAATTGGTTGATATAGGCCATTATATCAACCAACGAAGACGCGCCACGACAGACGCACGCAATGAGTGGTGAGCAGATAACTGATTTACACATTTGTATTTAGACATAGTTAGATGAAGATAAATAGTGATTTATTGCAGACATTAACTATTATAAATACAGTTCTACTTTTTACTCTAACCGAGTACTCGCTTCTTCTTACCGTCTTCCTCTGCACGTACGAGTGTACGTGAAGTTACGAGGCACCGCCTTATTCTGTCATCAGAATAAGTAGCTTGTACTGTCACCAGTACAAGCTTCAGGGTGCCCCGTTACACCTGGTAGCACTTCGTAGTCCGTCCAAGGACCACGTTCACATTCAACATGAATATGTTGGATGATGAAGATGACCAAAGCTTTCACGCTACGCGTGACGGCTACTCCCATTTGAGCGATGTCGAATGGGATGCGGTTGAACGAATGGGTTCGACCATGGGCATCCATGCTGTTAGCGTCATGCTAGAGGCTCTCAATAGAGATGCCCAACATGCTACTATCGCCAAGTTCATTCAAAATGAACTTGACGCAGAACGCGAGAAAGTAGCCTTGCTTCACCAACAAGGTTCTCAACAAGCAGAGTTGTTGAGAGAACAGGGTGCTCAACAGTTTGAACTGTTGAGACAGCAGCAGGCTGCTGCTGGTGGGTCGATGCACTCGCGTCGACCCGAAACCTTGAAGATTGACATCTCCAAGTATAGGGGGGTCGAAGAAGACTCCCTCTTGAGATGGTTCGTCGAATTGGATGACGCCATAAGGGCGCGTCGCATCGACGACGGGGATATGCAAGTTGCATTTGCCCAGTCAAATCTGGCAGGACGTGCCAAGACTTGGGCACTGGGGCTCAAGTTGCACGACCCATATGCGTTTGGGTCGCTGGAAGTCTTCAAGTCGCGGCTCAGACAAACGTTTGAACCGCCTAGAGCTGAGTTCAGAGCTCGAACCGAACTCTTGAAGCTCAAGCAGGGTAAGCGTGATGTGCACGCTTACGCTCAACATATACGACATCTCACGAGTTGTATAAGTTCCAATCCGGTGGATGAACACACGTTGGTTTCGGTGTTCATGCAGGGTCTTGCGGATGGTCCCGTCAAGACTCACCTGTTCCGGCTTGAACTAGATTCACTAGAACAAGCCATTTCAATTGCGGAGCAGGAAGACTTCAGTCTGAGACAGGCTCGCGCCAGCTCGACATCATATCGTCAACCGAGACGATATGACAACGGAGGTCCAGAGCCGATGGAACTCTGTTATGTAGAGAGCGAGAAGGCTCGCTCTACAGGCTACAAGAAGTTGCAGAGATGCAACAGATGTCAAAAGACAGGACACTACGCTTACGAGTGTAGTGCCCCTCGTCCAGTGTCTCGCGACACTGGGCGTAGTGACCGTCCACCCATGAGAAAGGGGCAGGGACGAGGGTCCGCAGTTGGTGCAAAGACGCAACAACGGGATGGACCGTCAAAAAACGGACAGGATCAGTAGGTGCGGAGCACCCTACTGATCCAGCAACGTCAAGAGAATTTGTAGGCCTCTTGATGAAGGTTGCTCCCAACACACAGACATTGTGCGTTGCTGCTCTAGGTAATGAGATCTCACTCATTACCTTGAAACTCGAAGTGACGAATAAGTTGTCCCTTCGAGCTCTAGTCGATTGTGGGGCGTCCAACAATTTTGTGCGACGCCAATCGCTAGAAGATGGTCACTTTAAATTCAGTGAATGTGACACACCTCCTACGAGGATGACGGTACGTCTTGCGACAGGCGCATCCGTAACCGTCATGAAGCGTATAGTGAAGATTCACTATACGCTAGAAGATACCCAATACGACGATGACTTTATCGTATTGGATTTGGATGACAAATTTGATGTCATCCTTGGAATACCGTGGCTCAGAAGGTACGAACCACGGGTAAACTGGCAACATCGGACAGTAACGATGCCTGCCGCTTGTTCATCAGATGGCCATCTGATGAACGTTTTGGAGCGTCCACAAGCGTGTGGATGTACTACGAGTGAGTGCGATGGCCTTACTTGTGGTACGGTCGTTAGTACGACTGCACAAAACCTTAGTGTACCAAACGGTTACACTTCGGAGCAAAGTTTCGGCGGCTGTGAGGAAACACAGGCTGCGCCGAAGGTCCACCACTCGAATAAGTCGGGTGGACTGGGACAAAGATGTATCCCTAGAGGGGAACATCTAGAAGAGAAACAATCGATCGCTCAGGTTAAGCGAAACGATAATCCTAGATCGACTGGAGAGTCTTTCGTAGAGGATCTCGCTGTGGTTGCGCAACCCCAGCTAGAGGAAGTAAAGGGAATAAGTCCCAAGATTACAAATACGGCGGAAATAAGTTCCCCGAAACCCGCGGGAATAAGTCCCCGGGAAGACGAAGGAATAAGTCCTTCGAAGCCTGAGGGAATAAGTCCCCAGGAAATGACAGAGACATTGAATGTCATAGTCAATAACGGATCATGTGTAGGCGCTTATACACTTGATCTGATTGCGCCTCCGAAGTTAACTTCGGAGATCACTCAGTTGCCAACGCTCGAACATAAAAGATTCTTGCGTGATCTGCGTAGTGGCAAAGTCAAGCAGATCTGCATACTCGTCGCTGAAGACGAGTATGTAACCGACATAAGGTCAGCAACAGTGTTTACTGAGAACGAGAGAGTTCTCAGTAGTTCATCTATGGACGAGAGTGTCCTAGATGAAAAGACACGAATTGAGCGATATGAGTCCCAATCATGGGAATCGCTCAAGGAAAATCCTCTCTATGAAGATTTGGTTGAATTCAAGGATGTATTCCCTGAAACTGTTCCGTGCGAATTACCGAAGGATAAAGGTATTCGACACGAAGTCGAGCTTAAACCAGGCTCGAAGTACTGTGTCATGAAGCAGTGGCCACTGCCTCTTGAACAAGTACTTGCGATCGACAAGTTCTTTGCCGATCGTTTAGCAGCGGGCCATGTGAGGGAATCAACTTCCCCACATAGCTCTCCGACCTTCTGTGTGCGAAAAGCAACAGGAGGGTGGCGGATAGTGCACGCGTTTAACAAATTGAACGCTGCAACGGTACCGGCTCAGACGCCGATACCGAGGAAGGACGTAATCATTGATGGTATGTCAAAGAGTACCATCTTTTCGTCCATGGATTTGATGGATGGCTTCTATCAAATCCTAATGCGGAACGGGATATACCCTATACCGCAGTTAGCACGCCTAGCGGCATGCTCTGGGAATGGCTAGTAATGCCACAAGGGCTCAGTAATGCCCCTGCCACGTTCAACAGGTGTGTATCACATCTGTTGAGGCCAGTACGAGAATTCGCGCCGAGTTATTTCGATGACGTATTCATCCATAGTCGAGCTATGGATGGAAAGTCGGACGTTGAGGTTCACAAGTACCACGTCCGACAAGTTCTTACAATCATGCGAAAGCATCAATTGTATGCAAACCTCAAGAAGTGTATATTTGCAGCAAGCGAAATACCACTTCTTGGGTGCATCGTTGGTAAGAACGGTGTACGTCCTGATCCCGAAAAGATCAAGGCGATCACCGACTGGCCCGTGCCGGTCGATGTCAAAGGTCTTCGAAAATTCCTTGGGCTAGCGGCGTATTTGCATAAGTATTCACGCAATTACGCCGAGATGACTGTACACCTCTCTCGTTTGTTGAAAAAGAACGAGAGGTGGTTATGGAACGCTGAATGTCAACGCTCCTTTGAGGGTATCAAGCAGAGCTTGATACAATCCCCAGTCCTAGCAATAGCCGATCAGGACAGGCCATTTCATGTGGTCTGTGATGCCAGCGATTTCGCAATCGGCTGTGCATTAATGCAGTACGACCTTGAAGGCGTTGAACGCGTCGTCTGCTATCAGTCGCGTCAGCTGCAACCAGCTGAGCGGAACTATCCAGTGCATGACAAGGAACTCCTTGCCATGAAGTATGCACTCGCGAAGTTCAGAGTCTATCTATTAGGAGATAGACCCTTCGTTGTTTACACTGACCATGCGTCCTTACGCACGGCAGTGAACAGCCCGCACCTTTCACAACGAATGGCGCGGTGGTTGTCATTCTTTGCAGAATACAACTTTACGGTCGAGTACAAACCAGGACGACTTAATGTCGTCGCTGATGCACTCTCACGTCGTCCCGACTTTGAAACAGTCGCGAAACCCAACAGTGAGACAGTCACTGTTGCGGTTATGACGTCCTCAGTTCCATCTACAACGTTGTATGATGATGTGAGGCGGGCATACGCCCAAGATGGTGAGATAGTGAAGTTGTTGTCACATCTCTCCCAACCATCTCGAGAATCGTTGAAACGATTGTCGTCTGCGTATCGATCTGCATCAGATCGATACACTACTCGTAACGGTTTACTGTACTATACAGCCGTTTCTGGTGACACAACACGTGTTGTCATTCCAGATGATACTGATCTGCGTTTGCGGATCATGTTCGAGTATCACGATGCTCCTATAGGAGGACATCGTGGCCGAGAGAAAACATATCTCACGGTAAGTCGAGACTTTTACTGGCCCCGCCAGTATCAGTTTGTGCGAAAGTATGTTCGCGCATGCGAAGTCTGCCAACGAGTGAAGTCAAGTCCTTCACTGCGTGCACCTTTACAGCCTCTACCGGTTCCGGCTGAGTGCTGGGAATCCATCTCAATGGATTTCGTCTTCGGGTTACCCAAAGACGCACGCGGGAATACGGGTATTCTCGAATTTGTTGACAGACTCAGCAAAATGGTACACCTTGTGGCTGTACCAGAGACAATCACGGCAAGTGGCTGTGCTTGTGTCTTTATTGACACCATCTTCCGACTTCATGGGTTGCCCCGTGAACTCGTATCAGACAGAGATCCACGATTCACTGCTGATTTCTGGCGTTCCGTGTTCAAATCACTCGGAACGCGCTTGAAGATGTCAACATCTGATCATCCAGAGACAGATGGTCAGACGGAACGTGCCAATCGTGTCCTTGAAGAGATACTTCGAGGATACGTACACTCCTTTAAGAGTTGGAGTGAGTTTTTGCCGATGGTAGAGTTTGCCATCAACAACTCGGTGCATGCGTCCACGACACATACACCGTTTTACGTGAATGGCTTGCGCCATCCGCGTGTACCCACCTTACTAGAGTGTAACTCTGGTTTAAGGGGGGGAGGGACTCGCGCGAGCAAAAACCGATTTGGTTCACGCTCATCACGCTCTGACGAAGAAGTCATTGCGTTTGATGCCGATATCGATAACATCGATATCGAAGAAGATGATGCCAGTGAGAGTGCGGAAGCCCTCACTGAAGACAATGATCCCAGTGAGAGTGCGGAAGCCCTCACTGAAGAAAAGATTGATGTTGCCGCAGTGCGCTCACAGCGCACTGAAGCTAACGAGTCATCAGATGAGTTCATACTGGCTCGTGAAACGGTAGTCCGTTTTGTGCAAGACTCCATCGCCGAAGCGGTGGATAAGCAAAAGCAAAACGCTGACAAGAATGGAAGGGCAAACACTCTTTTATTTAATAAAGGTGACTTAGTCCTACTGTCTACGGTTAATCTACCAAAGCATGTAGTGACTAACTTGGGTAGCAGTAAACTACTACCCAAGTACATCGGCCCATTTCGTGTATTGCACCGCCTAGGCAATGCATACACGATCGAGTTACCACGTAAGATGCGAACGCATCCCACGTTTTACGTTGGTCGGCTTAAGCCGTACCATCAGTACGCTGCTTCTTCCGATGAAGAACGCCCTTGCGCTCAAGCATCTCGCAGAGAGCCTTGTGCTCCCGATGGTGGGCATCAACAAGGGTCTGAAGAGCAGTTATCTCAGCCCGAGACCGATCAACAATCCCACGAGCTACCCTTAGCTCGTCACGAAGAGATGTCAGAGATCTCTCGTTCTCAAGCTGAGCAAAGGCAAACTCAGCTCGATGCTTCGAGGCAGTGTCCACCATCTGGAGACGCCTATTCCGCTCATGCTCGAGATCGTCGCGTAACCCTTGCGTTACGCGATCAAAGAAGCTCTCGGGAACACACCGATCCACATGATCGTGTGGAGAGCGTCTTTCCTCCTCCTCCACCTCCATTAGAGGACTCTCGCGGTGGCCAGCGCTATCTAGTTGAGCAGCTGTTGAACCACCGCGACGTGAACGGACGTCGGACGAGTTACCTCGTCCGGTGGCGCGGCTATCCCCCGTCCTGGGATAATTGGGAGGCCCTCTCCCAACTGGTGGTTGACGTACTGGGTCTGGTTGAGCAGTACGACGCGACACATCCTGTGCCGCAGAAGGACCGCCGGAGAAAGTCTTCCCGGCACGGTCGTAAAGGGATTTCAGGTTGTCAATCCCTTCGTACATCTCAGTAGAGACACGTACGCGCCACCACGGGCTGGTAAGGAGGTAAGCCTCCTTAGGTGCTCGTGCAGAGTTGTTCACACAACATGGGCACGAGTCTCCCCAAGAGAGGCAGGGTAATCCTTTCTCCCTTGACAGACGATGCAGCTTGTAGCGTGCACCTGTCGGGGTTCGCTTTTCAAACTTATCACGAGCTTTGATAAGTTTGTCGTTCCAAGCGTCACGACCTACATCCTCGAGATTATGGATGTAGGCGTTCCACGCCTGAAGTAGTGAGGGACCATCACGTTTGTGATTCCCACTGTACCATCGATGTCTGAAGAAAGCATCGATGAAGAATTCATGTTCAGCGCGATAGTCTTTCGCGCTGGGGTCAAGGTGATGAATCCTTGACGAATCGAACAATCGTGTTCGATAACGATCACTCGTCGTCGCCGACAAGTGATCCATGACAGATTTAGGAGGCATCCATGCCTTCTTTTCTGGAGCGAGACGCAACACATTGCGGTCCCGCTCTTCCTGCGACGTGCCGACAGAAGTACTGGCACCTCGCTGTGAAGTGGTGTCCATTGGAGAAACGACACCACTATTAGCGCCCGAGTCTCGCGACCTCGAGCGCCTTCGCTTCGGCGATGGTTCATCTGACTCATCAGATGAACCAAAGATGCTGCGACGCAAAGCATCGTCCATGCCACGCTTGGCAGGCGGCTTGGATTCAATTGCCGTCGATACGGATCCGTCATCCGTATCAGGAGAGTACGAGACACCGAGCTCGTACTCTGTGAAGACACGAGTGTCTTCATGACCAGCGCCTGCATCACCAGGTGATACAGGCTGAGTCGATTCAGCAACCGATGGGACATCAGTTGCTGTAGTTTCTGCTTCGGCGTCCGCACAGAGACGTGCAGACGCGCTCTCGGCGGCCTTGCTCGCGCATCGCATGGGCTTGTTTACCATGCGATGAGATGTTGGAAAGTGGACGCGGACCAACAAGTGCAAACCCCGTCCCAAATGATTTGGGACGAGTATCCATTTAGTCAATCAGTCACTAAAGTGACTGATGGTTAAGGGGGGTGATGTAACGGGGTGAATCGTTACATAACAATTTATAAGAAATTGTTAATAGAATATAACTATAAGAGTTATATTCTCAGAATATTGTCATAAGGACAATATTCTGTAGCACTTCCAAGTAGTTCCTAATTGGTTGATATAGGCCATTATAACAACCAACGAAGACGCGCCACGACAGACGCACGCAATGAGTGGTGAGCAGATAACTGATTTACACATTTGTATTTAGACATAGTTAGATGAAGATAAATAGTGATTTATTGCAGACATTAACTATTATAAATACAGTTCTACTTTTTACTCTAACCGAGTACTCGCTTCTTCTTACCGTCTTCCTCTGCACGTACGAGTGTACGTGAAGTTACGAGGCACCGCCTTATTCTGTCATCAGAATAAGTAGCTTGTACTGTCACCAGTACAAGCTTCAGGGTGCCCCGTTACAATCATCCCGTTCGTAAGCCTTGTCACTCGCACCTTAAGCTGTTCACGATCCTCGAAAGACAACGGTATAATGATCAATTATTGTGGGTTTGCGGTAGACAGGAATCGGAACAATTGAGTGTGTCAATATTGCTCAGATTTATGCGCAGTCCTTCGTGTTGCCAGGTAGAACACTATGATTGAAGTAGATTGTGCTGTTCGGCACAGTCTTTAAGCTCTTTTTGCGTGAGCGAACAATATTAATATGCGCTGCTAAAAAGACTCATACTCTGCACTTATCACTTCACACAGTATATGGAGTAAGCTGCTGATCGAACATGCAGACTAAACCGCAAATGTAGTTAGAAATTAGAGATGTAGCCACCATCGTTGCTAGACGGAGTGGTGCCCTATATATGAACGTTGAGACTTCTGTTATCGACGATAATCGGCAATTAGCTGGACTGGTGTGTGTCTTGGTCATCCCAAAGTTTTGATAAAGATGGAGAAGCCACCCGTCCGGAATGTAACAAACCAGACTCCGTCATCTTACACTGGATGTGTCAAGTGTTTGCAACGATTCCTGCTGTGTATCGATATCAGCTTCCTCGACCAAAGTGCATGCTCTGCTAAAATCTTGATGCTGGCAATAGTCCGTGATACCGTACACGTCTCCTCCGTTAGCTGGTCGCTGTCGCTATTGCAAGGTTGCGAACGGCTTTGTTTTCGAACCTTTTGCTACAGACGTAGTTATCTGCTCTGTCAATCGCATACGACAAGCCATGTCGTAAGCATCATTGCTTGATAAGGTATACTTGCTACATAATCTTGATAGTGTACTTGCTCTCCAATTACATCCAGAGTCGGCGTGCTTTTGCTGTAGAATGTCCACATTATGGAGTTGCTGGCACTATATACTATGCTGAAGATGTGACTTGAGCCTTGTACGTATTGGGAACTAGAGGACCGTTTTCGATAAGCAGGCTCAGTCTATCACGACGTACTCCAAAAATTCTTTTCTGCCAAGAATATTTGTGCTTACAACAATCGTTGCTGTGGAACCAAAACAAGATTATCGCTACAACAAGAACACCTGGATGTCATAATGCAGTACGGAAGGTGTAAACTTGATGAGCGCGTGTGACAGTTGTCGAATTGTAAGCGTTGAGTAATCATGTGCTGGAACTGAAGTAACATTTACGCTGCTCATGCACGCACAACTAGCCACTGTGTCTATCTCGATAGATAACACTTATGATCTATGTGTCATGCCTGTATGGCAAAGTGCAATGATAGCACCTCAATCTCCACGATTGTGCGCTTGATCGCGGCAAATTATATATACCTTTTTTCTTGCATGTTGTTTACAACTGTATTGCAAAATGCGATTACAGCCCCTTCATGGACGTACGGCTATACTAACAAGACACCAAAATTCGAGCTCTGCAATTCTTAAGATTACTAAGGGTAAATCGACTACGGCGTGACAGTCGTGAGCAGAAAGATTTTATAAATACGTGATCCTTTGCCTGACACGCAACATAATTTTAAAAGCAGCACCCCCTGCTTTATATTCCCCAAGCCTTAGGTCGATTCACCTTTGCGTGATAGCAGTAATCGGTATCGAGATGCCGCTTGTACTCGTACCTTTAAGACTTATAAATTCAGCTGAGCTAAATTGGTAGCTTGTTTCAGGCAATGCAGAGTATCACTTTTTTAGGACAGGTTACACGGCCGAAGTGAAACACTAATTGGGATAGCATATCATTGCTCACGTCGTGGGAGGAATGGGCACTTATGAAGAAAGCAAATACAAGCTATCGCGGTGTCCAGCCATTATACGTAGCGGCCTTTATCAGCGATGCCAAATTTTGGGATATTTAATACCGCTCAGCTAGTAAATTTAGAGCTGTTAAAATCTAAAGCTGTGTGTCGATTCGTGTTTTAGTTCGACTTTGCTGAAATTTATGCGCATAACAGTCACCTCTTTCGAAATGACGTCTGTAACGGGGTGCCCTGTTACATGATAGCTTACATCAGGTAAATATCAAGTGTAAATTGTATGTTAGGACAGATATTATATTCTCACGATACTTAGCTTAACAAGTGAAATTGCGGAACAGGAGTGATACACTACTCATTGGTAGATATCGACAGAGGACACTTTCCAATAAATCCTAGCCACGACAGAAAAACGAAATGAGTAATGAGCAGACGGTTAATTAAACATCTTTGTATATAGATATACTTAAGATAGAATATTTGGGATTTATCATCATTGGGTTAACTACACCTTTAATACAATTCTAGTTAGACCCATTTCTCGCATTGAAACCTATTTCTGCACGACGCATGTACGTGAAGCCTCGAAGCACCAGCTTACTTTATGTTCGGTGTAAGCAGCTTGTACTATGACATTACAAAGGACTAGCTCTGTGTTACAACGTTTACACAATGCGTATGCTTGTCGACTTGTGCTATGTCGAAGCACGTGTCCGTCAACATGCGGCGTTCTTGTCGAACACAACGTTCCTCGTTTAATAATTGCTTAGGTACATTACCTTCTCTCTGTATATAGTCTCGTTGTCTCCCGATGTAAGTACGTACACTAGTTACGGGCCGCACAAAAGTGAATAGGTTTGGGCATGCAGGAGTATGAGCTCGCGATTCCGCGCTTGTGGCTTCGA